TAGGAGTGGGCGGGGCACTCTTAGCCATTTAATCTGCAGCAGCGCAAGCAGTAAGGGGCAGCGGGTGCAGAGCAGCTTATGGAGGCAGGCGTGGCAAAATGAGGACAGAAGAACAGACCACAAGGACAAAGTATGAGTTACAAGGAAGAATAAGGCTTAGTCATCGTATTGTGACTTGTACAATGTAGAAACTGCAAATATAGATTAACTCTAAATTGTCATAGTCACAAGGTTGTGACTTGAAGTACAGCATGTGTAGTTTCTGAACATCTGCTTTTTTATTTTAAACTGTGTCTCCTCTTCTTTTGCAGGCTACGCCTTCCTGCTGTTCCAGGAAGAGACCTCGGTTCAGGCCTTAATTGACGCCTGCATCGAGGAGGATGGCAAACTGTACCTGTGTGTGTCCAGTCCCACCATCAAAGACAAACCGGTGAGTGGCAGAACATGAAATGAAAGTCGGTGTATATTTGGACATCTGTCCTAAAATGCATTTCTTTTTAGGAGCATCATTTTTTTTGCTAAAATCTAATCGTGAAGAAATATTTGGAGATAAAAGTACGAGACAAGTTATGGATTTCTTTCTGTTTGATTTTTTTAGGATGACTTTATATATCACACCTTTTTAGTCATAGCTGTCAGGGGCAATTTGGGGTCCAGCACCAAGGCCACACATTCTTCTAAATTACTGCATTAAATTCCTGGAGCGTGTCAAGGGACTTTCGGGGCCCCGGGCAAAAGGGACCTGGGGGGCCCAACATCGAACCCATGATACCACACCTCATCATTCCTATCTCAGTGTAAATTCCCACCACCATCAGGCACATCACATACCCCTTATTTTCCTCCCATTTCTTTTATATGCAGGTCCAGATCCGTCCCTGGAACCTGAGCGACAGTGACTTTGTCATGGATGGCTCTCAGCCTCTGGACCCCCGCAAGACCATCTTTGTGGGAGGAGTGCCTCGGCCCCTGCGTGCAGGTAACTGACTAATATGAATGGAATATCTTCCTTTTCTTATACCCCAAAAGCCTCTAAATTGTATTCATAACATTGACTGGCATTGAGCACAGAGGCTGGAGGCTGTAATGAAAAGTTCTCCCTGAGAGAAAGCAATCCTCTACTTGGGTTTCCAGGACGTGAGCCAAATGGTCGTCATGTTAAGAATTCATGGTGTAATGGAAGGCTCTGTCTTTCTGTTCGAGAGACAAACATCGCTGGCTTGTGTGCAATGTGACCCCCAACTAATTATACCAGCAGACTGAGACTGCTGCTCGTATGAATAGTGCAATAGGGTAGATTTTGACATTAGTTAATAACCGTGTCGATCACTAAAGTAAAACCTTTTCTGTGTTTTTTTGAAAGACACTGAAGAGAACAAAAGCAAGAGCAAAACACTCTTTAACTCACAAAACTCCTGAGAGGAGTGAGGACTGGCTGCAGCACTAATCATCTCTCCCCCTCTCGTCTTCTCTTCCCTCGCTCTCCTCAGTGGAGCTGGCTATGATCATGGACCGGCTGTATGGCGGCGTCTGCTACGCCGGCATCGACACCGACCCGGAGCTGAAATACCCGAAGGGAGCCGGCCGCGTCGCCTTCTCCAATCAGCAGAGCTACATCGCTGCCATCAGCGCTCGCTTCGTTCAGCTGCAGCACAATGACATCGACAAAAGGGTGAGCGGGTTCACCTCATTCACAACATCCTCCCTCTGACAGAAAGCAGGGTCCCCACCACAGCTGAGGTTTCCACAGTCATTCCTATGGCATGCATCAGAGCTGAACTCTGCCCGAGCCCTCTCCCATGTATCACAGCTTTCATTATAGCAGTGTTTTCAGCCAACTGCTCGGCGCAGCCTGCAATAACGGAAGGCTGGGCCTGGCTGTGTAATCACCACGGCTTTTGGCTGCGGGACTCCCGACAGATGTTTCAAGTTGCAGACACATAGGGTCGGTTTAATTATAGTAGTTCCCTATGCATGTATAGCCACTCAGGGCTGTGCTGCAGCCTGGTTATTTTAGGCTCGCCAGCCAATTGCAGTGGGACAGATCGTGACCGAGAGAGACTGGTAGTCGGCCAAGAAGTCGAGCCTCTGAAGGGCGGGGCCGTCCACCACACCCGGGCTATCACGAGCTATCTTCAGCGGGGGTTCTTTGTGGGAGTGTCTTTATTATGACTGGAGCTGTGCGGAATACAAATAACACTTGAAGGGTGTGAACAAAGACGTTCCTTCAAAAATGCGTCACAACAAAAACACCGAAACAGCCTGGAGAAGCAGGTAACAGGCAAACAGCAATCCAGTCAGCCACAAACAATATTGTCAAACTGCCTCTTTCCTGCTTTTCCCCTTTACATACTAATCCACATGCACACACACACATTCACACCTACACAACAATCAAATAATCACACCATGACCCCCCCTCCCCCTTCCGTTGGTCACATTACTGACTTGCACTATAAATAATTCATTAAAAAACTCTTTTTATGATGACAGAATTATCACTTTGAAAGAAACTGAGGAGTCAAACTGAGGAGTCAAACTGAGGAGTCAGACTGGGGCACAGGGGGACGACGTCCTTGAGAATCACTGTGGTTTGACTTCAGAGTTCTGCTGTGGAACAAAGACGCCTCTTGCTGCCACTTTTCCTTCTCATTCTCTCTTTCTGTCATTAATAAGTTCATTAACTGCTAATGGCTCTTGATGATGGCACATAGAAGCTCATCACCCCTGCGTCCTGTCCACTGAGTTGATGTTGGTGTTTAATAGCTTCAGCTCCTGCGTGTCCTCTTCCTCCTCCTCCTCTGCATTTTGCACTGTAGCTGCCTCACACTGTCGGAGGATTCGATAACCTTTCATTTTGTGGCCGCACTATAACAAGGTTAGCGTCCAGCCCTGCCCACTCGTGCACCGAGACGTCTCCATGGAGACGGAGCTCTCATTTCTTGTCTCCTGGCTCAGCGGTCAAACTCATTTCACCGGACGACGGGAGGATACCTGAGGTTTTATTTTAGAAAACTGTCACTACAGAGGAGGATTTAGCTTGGAGAAACGTTCGGGACTAACTGTGAGACCATTGGGTGGAATATCAGTGTTTTTTCAGTCTGCAGCGTCTTGACACGCACATCTGTGGTAACACCGGTTATTTAAGTTGTTGAACTGAGGGCATTATAAGAACTCTGGGTTTTGGGAATAATTTAGTTTGTGTTTGTGTTGTTTGGAGTTTGTGTGTGTTGGTTTTCTCCCAGCTTTTGTTTGCATCATGCTGTCCAGATGGGATGAGTTATTATTTAATTTTCTTCAGTACCAACTGATATTTGCTGTATAGCGTTGTCTATTTCGTTAATATATATTTTTGTACATATTGTTGTGGGACAAAGAGCAAAGAACAGCTCCTTCACTTAACTAGTGTCATATGTTTTTTAGTGGGCTGAGGTGAGTTGCTAAACACAATTTCCAGAATTTTGCTGTTGAGGCTTTCAGGGGGTCTCAAGTGTCAGGAATATTATTGTATTTTGTTCAAGAAGAAGATTGATTTGGAAGGATGATTGTTTTAAGTGAGAATATGAGATTAAAATACTGTTTGTCTTGGTCTGTGTTTGTGGAAGATGAGAAACTAAACTCGTCTGCTTCTCCTCCCCAGGTGGAGGTGAAGCCATACGTCCTGGATGACCAGATGTGCGACGAGTGCCAGGGGGCACGCTGCGGGGGGAAGTTCGCCCCGTTCTTCTGTGCCAACGTCACCTGCCTGCAGTACTACTGTGAGTACTGCTGGGCCAGCATCCACTCGCGAGCCGGCCGAGAGTTTCACAAGCCACTGGTGAAGGAAGGGGGCGACCGTCCTCGACACGTGTCCTTCCGCTGGAGCTGAGGGGGGGTTCATGAGTCAGCCCTGCCCCGGTGAACCCACACCTGACCCCTAAAAAAAAAAAAAGGCCTCCTTCTATCCCACAGCCTGGGACAGTACTGCAACACCCCCTCCCACAATACACAGCCTCATCTACTCCACCCTGCTCCCCACAAACACCTCATGAAAAAAAGGATGCCACCAAACACACGGGACTGTCTTCATGCCTCGCGGCTCTGAACTCATCGCCTGGTGTTCCCCTCTGATGAAGCTTTGTGGGGGAAAAGAAAAGCGAAAGTCTATCAGCGTAGAATTTGCACTTTGGCACAAGATTTCACTAAACACACACACACATGTTCGACACCTGGCTACTTTCAGTTCCCCGCTCTGTTGACTGGGTGGTGTGGTACGTCCTCTTGGACCCCCCTCCCCTCTTACTGAGACAGAGGTGGGACCGTACAAATATTTTAAAAAAAGTATATATTTTTTGTTTCATATTGATCTATACATATAAATATGAATATATAGATAATTCGAATTTTATGTAACAGGAGCATGCACTTAGTTATATGGCCCCTAGTAAAAGATCATAATTACCAAAGGCAAGTGAAATTAACGCACAGAGAAAAGTAGGTGGCATAAGATGTAGCAAGATTTAACATCTATCCAGTAGTGTGGGCCCGTATCGCCCAGAGTAAAAATAACACGGCTATATTCGCTCTCAATTCTGACTCTGAAAATATTAATACCTCATAACGCGCAATCAGATTTTTGTTTTCAATATCTAGGTCTTTATTTTTATAATAACATTATTTTTTAGTGTTATGTAAATGTAATGCTGCAATAGCTTTGCTGCTAAATCCATGGTATAAACAGATACCATACGTACTTTATTCAGGCAAAGGTTTATTAAACAACAGATCCAGAGAAGCACCGACGAGCTATCCCAGGGGGAGGGGGCGCCCCTGGACGACGATGGCTACCTTTGTGGCGGGGTCGGGGTGGGTCGCCCCTAACTGCATGTTTATCTCAATCAGGTTGCTGCATGCAATACACTTTTCAGTATCATGTCTACTATTCAATTCTGCCCATGTTTGCACAATACACTGTAGGCATACATTCGACTCTGAAACTGGACGGAAACTGGTCAAAGGAATCATGGGAGCTCTGCGTCGACGGTCAGGCTGACGGGCCTCACCCGCGGCGCAGCCAGAGCTGATAGTTCCTGCACAAACAGGAGGTGCACACATCCAGACAGCGAGGAGGGGAAAATACTTTTAATAATCACAAATCAAATTAAATGTAGGATTACCATTTAAAACTGTCTATGATAGGTGAAGTACTTTTTGCAGTGATTGTTGATATAATTGTGCAATTTTTTATACAGTATGTAGTTAGGTCTGAGTATGCCTAGAACTGTGATTCGCTTTAACTGTCGTTAATGTCCGACATAGAAGTCCTGTGAAACTTCATAACTAGTGTATGCACACGTGCAGTATATATGTTCTGTTGTACGTACACACACACACACACACACACACACACACACACACACACACACACACAC